TTCTCTCATGATTAATAAAATATACCATTTAAAATTTTTTTGTTCAAGTGGTGCATTTCTTTTGCGAGCCACTGTATTTAATTTCTATTACTATTTTGTGTAACCAATTTTGCCTTAATAATATTATTAATTATTTTAGGTATTGTTTTTATATATTTCTTACAAGTTTTTTCAGATTTTTCATTTCAAATCTCTAATAAAATATTCTAGAGTTTTTTTATTATTAATATTAATATCTAGATCATTAACTCTTATTTTCACATTATTTCAAATATTTATATTGAATTTAAATCAGAAGTTTTGAATTATCAAAAAATAGTTTTAATTTTATCATTTTGTAACCATCTTTAAACTATTTAACCCTATGTTTAGGATAATTATTATGTTGAAATACAATATCTTTAGGAGTTAGATTATAATAACTTAATGAATACATTAATTTTTTTTTCAAAATTTATCTATAAAGTTTTGCATTAAGATTTTCTTTAATTCTAGATAAATATTTTGTATTGTAATAAATAAAAAATCTCTATGTATTAATATTATATTTACCAAATTTGATTGTAGAAATTGTATTTTATTACTTTAAAGGTTTTGTAAATTTTTTTCAGACTGTATAATTATTATAAATTATTTTTTATTATCATTATTTCATATAATATTTTCAAATTTGTAATTTTTTTGAAAATTTTTATTTAAATAAAAAATAATCAATTAATTTTATTCTTATTACCAAAACTTTCAATTTTTAAAAAAAATCAATTGACTTTTAAAAGATTATTAATAAGTGTTTGTTATTTATTTAAAGTTTAAAGTTCTATTATATCGAAACAATACTGGTTCTGTGGAACTTTAATTTAGACCAATGATTATTACAAATTGTGCAAATTTCATGAATTTTTTATTATAGTGATAATCTATAATAAAGTCATGCGTAGCCAATAAATTAAACATTTTTACATTTGTACAGGAAATCTCATGACCGAAAATTTCACTTAAAACAAAGCAAATGCAGCTTTACAAACCTATAAAATTGCATATGGAGAACAGTCTCCCTGCCACATATTTTTGCTGAAAGGATCTTTGCTGCTCCTCTACCATTAAATTGGTAAGTAAATGTATTTTTATTGTATCGATCATACTGGCTTTGCTAATAAAGAATTTGAGTTGAGAAGATTATATATTTTAAATATTTTCATGTGATGTATTTTTTATTAAGATAAAAAAAATATGCGTTAATTTTTCTTAATATTTTTACTTTGATGTATATTTTTTCTAAATAATATGTAACCTAAATCCTAATTATCACGTTATTTTTCAGACGCATGCTTGAGTATTAAGTAGTAATATACAGCAATTACACCGAGAAATTAATTTCTAAAGGCTCGTTGGATAGTGTCATCTTTATATATTTCTTATATTAATAATACAACATGAAACTTTTTTTCTCTGTTAGCTTTTCAAATATACAATATACTGTATTATACTGCATTAATCACATTTGTAGAATATCAAATTTTGATTAACTACTGTATACGGGTTGGTACACAGCAAAACTATGCTTTGAAAGTTTTTAATAAAAATCATGATTTTTAGTGGATTATATTTCCAATAATGTCCTTTATCCGTTATAAAGTTTGAATATATTATAAATTGGTATAATCTTACGTGCAGTGCAGTTTTTAAATTTTTCATGATTCAATATATAAATTTAGATTGATAACCGTTAATATCTCCGAATATGGAATTTGTCTTAAGCATGGTTTTGCTGTGCACCAACCCATATAATACATATTGTTCATTAGCTTGATACGAAAAATCAAATAAAGCAAGGAATGTATCATTATTTACAGTTTACTTAAAACTACCCGTTGAACGTCAAATAGATCAATCACAAAATTGATGCCTACAACTGTATTTGGCAATATTACAGCATATGCTGCAGGAACTCCCGCAACGATTGGAGGGTCCCAGAAAACATCAGCAATCGGAATGGTTATTTGAAAGGCCTTAAGATTTAAAGCATTGCAACCGGTAGGTGTAGGTGTATTATTATTATACTGTATAGTGCCGAAATCCCACTATAATATTGCAAAAATTATTTTTAACATTTATCATAAAAATATAACTGTAGATAAATTTTACCTCAGTGACATATACTCCTGCTGTTGCTAAAGTTGCATCTGTTAATAATACACTCCCTGCAGATGCACCACGCGTCCATAACCTAGCCTAATATTAAAAAAAAAGACTGTTAGAGATAAGCCAATCGAATAACAAAGAGTGCTAGGCGTAAAGACGTACAATCATTGCTTGATGAACGGTTTTTCCTATGGTTGTTTTAGGATAAAGCTTTATACCAAGTACACAACGTACATAATTTTCATGCATCCATGTTTCGCATTTTGTATTCCAGACAATGATATTTTGAGTGTTAGCTACCTCACATATGATTCTCGCGTGAGGGTTGCCCTATGCAAATAAATTATTATTATTAGAAAATTAGCTCCAAAGTAAATATGATAATAAAGTATCAACTCAAAGTACCCTTGCGTCAACGGGGGTAAGACCAGAATGTGGAATTGGTGATAAAACATAATCATTACTTGCGCAAACTGAGATGTCTGATGCTATTTTTTCTCCATTACCGATTGGATTATAATGAACTATAGGAAAAATTATTACAAGCCAAAGACAAAGCAGACTAAACGAAAATCTCTTACATGGTTGATGCGTAACCTCTATCGGACCAAGTTTCACACGATTATTTGGTTCATCAAAACATTTAAAAAGATATGATACAACAGCTTCATGTTCCATGTTTGCCATTTCAATAATGTATACATTTCTGTTTTCCCAACAAAATTTATATCCGGTCGATTCGTTGTGGTCAAGGAAAGTATTGTAATCTTTCACTGAAACGTTCTTTCCAATCTGAAATGGTAAGCTGCAAACCATACGAGTCAATAATATTGAGCAAATCTTAGGAAACCTATGTGGAGCACACTTACTTTTCTTCTCCTAAGGGAACTTTTGGTAACTTGGGATAGTTATAGACTGTTTTATTAACTTCATGTCCGATTTTCTTTTCTTTCTTTATGACTGGTTGCCAAGCATCCATTTTGAAAGAGTAGAAAGTTGAGTACACAATACTGTATATAACGATCAGATCAATAAATTCTTTTTTTTTATCGTCACATCATGTGTTATCGTAAAAATGATCGAAAAGTCGATCCCTGATCCTAGATTGCAATACGATTTTATGCATGGTAAGAACGTGGTGTGTCATCAAACTGTCACTGATATCCAAAATGCACTTTCTGATGATATACCTCGATATTGGTCTCCTTATACTGTATATGGTTTTTTCGGTAAGTCGGATTACATAAACGTGCAGCCCAAATCTTTTGTAATTATCATTATTGTTTATCACTGTAAATTTATAAATACGCCAGATTACGTGCCGTGAACTGAAGGAACCTCGTAACTTATATTTATAATGTTATCTGCTACTGGAGAAATAATGGTATTTTAAAATTCTACAAATTATATAGTTTTATAAGTAATTTTTAATGAATTTCAAGATTTTTTGCATCATTTTAGGTGATGCTATTGGAATTCTTTCCCGTTGATGTTACTGAAAACACTACCGTTGGACATCTCAAGAAACTCATCAAGAAAAAGAAGAAAAACCCCTTTTCCAATATTGACGCTGACAAACTGAATATATGGAGTGTGGATATTCCTGTCGAAGATAAAGATCTGGAAACCAAAATATATGCCGAAAATATCAAAGAACAATACCAGGGTGTAATGTTATCTTCATTTAAAACTATCAAAGGTTATATTCACGAGTCCGCTAGTAACATCCGAATTATCGTACAATCACCACCGCCCGCCACCACTGGTAAGTATCTCCAAATGTTTTTACCTCTCACACAAGAAATTTTTAGTAACCAAATATCCGATTTCTTTCTTTTTCCAGCACAAACCCTGCCTGAAACATTAAAATATCGTGATCCCCAACCTCTTCTCAAGGGTAGTGGTTCCTCTTGGGACTTTCAAACTTAAAAAGCTTTGAAACAAGAACTTAAGGATGCTATTAGTGATCATTTCGAATATTGGAAGGCTGGAAACGTGACAAAACAACAATACCGCAATACTTCTTTCTAGCAGGAGCTGGAGAAGGAAAATCTCGCACTGCACAAGAATTGCCGAAATTGCTAATAGAATGTACAAATGATGTTGACTTAGAGAATCGACTTAGGTCTGCTCTTGTATTTAATCTATCATTTGAAAATGGGACCAAATTACTTTGGAGTGACGAAAAAAGTGCCTCTAATGCAATTGGCAATCGAATGCTCTTTCAGTTATTACAACAGCCTGGTGAATGTTGGGATACCTATGTGAATCAATATTATGTAACTCCAGCAGGGGTATTGAGTAGAGTTGCTAAACATCGTAATCAAGAATACAATGATCTGAACGTAATTATTATTCTGGATGGGCTACAGGCGGCAATTAAAGAAGATATGAATGGAACGGACAAAAATTATTTTTTTACGATTGTATCTCTGCACTTGGTATGCTTTCACTTTCTGGCCCATTTATTATTACCTGTTGTACGGCTACTATTAGCATGTCCATTCACAGTTTCCATGCCAGTTCACAACAATTGAGAGTTTTTCTCCCAGTGACATCATTACAACCTCCGAGAATAAACGCAACCCAGTCTTTGTCGATAATCCAGTTATGAAGATGCTCATAAACGATATGGGCGGTCATGGGCGTGCGTTGGAGGCTTTAGTAGATTCTATTAGAGGAATAGATTTGGACAATATTAATTTTATTGATCTAATAAATAATGTACGATCAAATCTCTGTAAAAAATATCAAGGATGATTAAGTAATACTGATTATTTGAAACCGGTCTTTCGCATTATTCTTTCACGTACGCAAGTTAACATAAAACAAAATATTGCTACATTTGGGGAAAAGAAGTAACAGTAGATGACGTAACAAAATTTGGTCTTGTTCGATTTGTGAGTCAAAGAGCGGATGAAGTGTTTGG